CACACACACACCCCCATAAATACATACACATATCTACATTCAGTGATTGTCAAAAGCCCCAGGATCCAAATGTCTATTTTTGTGCGGTTGTGAACATGCATATAAATGCAAGATTTCTCTAGTGGAATATTAAATAGTGATTGAGGAGGACCACAGACCCGACCCCCAAGASCCARAGCACAAATATTTCTTAAGYTTATACATTCAGTTAAAATAGCAGTGGTTTGGCCTAAAGCCAACATGCTAATGCTGATACATGTGGCAGTTTGGAAAGCTGTAATTAGCATGATCAACTTAAAGATGAGTTATTACACAGGTTACAAACAGTGACTGTGTCAGTCCAAATGTTTACACAACTCCCACACATAAACATATATATCTTCATGCCTAATAGTGTGCACAAAAATAAAAAAATTATTCACAGGCTGCTGACCAAAAATTAGCTTAGATGCTARCCTAGCTTTGAAAAGGCCACAGAAAAGCTATGGTGATTAGCATTGTGTTTCATTACTAAAGTCATGTTGTGATCACTTCAACTATTACAGATAGTCTTCAGGGTTCAGCAAAGAAAAGATAAAAGGATATGAAAACACAATTTGCTGCAACATGTTTCGACTACAGGAAGCTATGACAACTCTATTAGGAGAAACAGCACCACACAGTAACAAGTCCTAAAGCAGCAGCAGAAGATTGATGTTAACTAATTTGATTGTTTTTATTTCAAAATTGATATAAAATCGTCTGAATCTAAAACTGGATTATAGCCTCACCTGTGAAATAAATCTTATAGTTTGTCGTTTTAGATGTTAAAGCTCTAATAAAGTATTTTGAGCAAGCCGTTTTTGTTTCCTCCCAATCAGGTGTGGTAATGTGGCGGCCATCTTGGAGCTGGATGAGCATCTACAGCGGGAGTTCATCATATTCGAAGCAGCTCCACAAGAGACCAGAGGCATCCCCTCCAAGAAGCCAGTAGCCGACTATTTCCTGTAAAACCCTCTGAGCAGACAGCCCTGACTTGTCAAACTCCGGTTCCCTCCTCCCCCTCCTCCTCCTCCTCCCCCACAGTCCTCCTGCAGGTCGGTTCTGTTAGCAGACCTCTCCCAGCAGCGAGGGAGATAACCTGCCTGACCCCGTGAAGCTTCCTCTCTCACAGCTCCAGTTTGAAGTCTTCACCCGACTGCCCGAGCCTGACTGATGAGTTGGTGAAAGGGTGYGGCTGAACCTGGGCCCACGACTGTTTCTCTTCAGCCGTTTGTCCACCTCCTCCTCTGTACATAGAGCTCTCCTGTCCAGCTCCACTGTCACCACGTTTCTCTGAGCTTCTTTTTGCTTTGATGACAAACTTYGTCGTGTAGTTTTAGAGGCACTCGGAAGAAGTAAGGATTTATGTTCAAGAATATGCAGGTTGAAGACATTTTTACATTTTTATCATTTAAGGAATTCCTTCAGTGCATATGTTGTCTTTAATTTATGTAAAATTGTTGCTGCCAGAGAAAACCCACGTTCCATTTATTRTTATTATTATTTTCTCTTAACCGTCATCTGTTCCGTGTGCTGAAATGTAAGCGCTGCTGCTCGGCACCGCCAAGAATAAAACGCCAGAAATGTAACAATTCTCAAGAAAACTCATTATATACATCCCCCCCCCCCYTTAATTCTTTTTAATCTAAACATCTCTAGTTCTGTCAATTTTGATATTGTGAGAATAAAGTTTTGTATTGATGCTGATTTGTTGGGGTGTGTGTGATTTAAAGATCTGTAATCTAAATATTGCATGACACAGAGAAACAGATAAAATCACTGCAGGCATTCCTGTTGCCTTTCATGATGGATTCAGATACCCATTATCATTAAACTCAATCTCAGAATTATCAGACTCAGATTAGGTTGTGGATCCTTTAAGATGCAAWGTTTATTTCCTAAAAATGATTTCCTTAAATCTAAAATCTGCAGTAGTTTGAGGTATTTTGCTAACAGACAGGCAAATTGTTTTTGAATCGAATCCAAAAGCAAAACCATGTGTAGAGTTGAAGACAAGAAGTTTATTTAAAGTTTGTCTAGAGATCTTCAGCAGAACACATGTTCCACCACACGGACAGGTTCGGTCTAGCTCGGYTCTGGTCTGACGGGTTTTTCTCGCCGGACCAAAAACCCCGAGCCGCCGCCTCAAACCGGAGGAGCGCGAGGAGGTCCACGGGAAAACCGAACAGGAACCGGAAGCCAGAAGATTTCCTCTTAGTCCGAACGGAGCTCTGCGGGTCACTGCTGGAGACGGACACACGGACAGGTAGGGTCGGAACCACGGCTTTTTGGGTCGGTCTCTGTGGGTTCTTTAAGAGGAAAGAAATCTGTGGAAAGTGTGGGTTTGTGCGGCTGTGTTCGTGTTTTCTCTCTTCGCGCCGTGCCGTCAATCAATCGAATGTTTGGATTGTTTGGCGGCGCGTGAGCCTTTGATGTGCGCGCGTGCGCGTTATCAGGATCTACAGACACCTGTTTCTGGCACTGAGCTTCAGTTTAACTGGGGGGAGAATAGTGGATTTTTACGTTTTTCCCCCCAGCAAAAACAAACTAACAAGCGTGGAAAAAAACAAAACATTGTAATAAATTTGCTCACATTTTAGGAAGATTCACATGACTGATCACCAGAATGGCAGCAAGTGAGAGGTGGGGTCAGAGGTCAACTGGTCTCAAACCAGGACAGGTCATAGTGGATAAACAGGTTGTTTCATGTCACTATGTTTGTTTTGTTATTTAACTAAGTATTACAGTTGTTAACCTAAATAAATATAAAATTAGAAACCTTTAGGAATAAAAGTTAAAAGGAGAAACACACAAAGTCCACTGAAACAGCTTGAAATTGGCAAAAGAAATAAAAAAAACTGCAAAGAAATCATATTAAATTGCTTCAGTATTTTGATTTAACAAAAATCGAACAAAATAAAATAACGAAATTAGCCTTGACTAAAAAGGATGGTACCTTTTTACCTTGTTGCTCAGCCTCTTGAGTCGAGAGAGTTCACCGGTATCGAAGTTTGGTCCATTCCTCCTGAGCAAACTGCTCCAGCTGGTTCAGGTTTGGACGGTTCCTTCCACAGATGTTCAACAGGATATAAGGCCACTTCAGAATACTCCAATATTTGGTTTTAGCTATTTGGGGGTATTTTTAGGTCATTATGCTGTTGGAGGACCTATGACCTGCAGCTGAGACCAGTCTTTCTGACATTGGCAACATTTGCTCCAGAATGTCTTGTTAGTTTTGAGATTYTGCTGGACCTGCACAGATTCAAGTCACCCCGTCTCAGATGCAGTAAAGCAGCCACAGAACAAATGGTTACTTGAGCTATCGTTGCCTTTGTGTCATTTTCCACTAGTGTGTGCCTTTCCTCTGACGTCAATGAGGCATTTTTATACTAACAACTGCCGCTCACGAAATATTTTCTCTTCTTTTAGACTATTCTCTGTAAATCATATAAACTATTATTATTATTATTATTATTATTTGTGTAAAAATCCCAGTAGATCAGCAGTGTTTTAATACTCAGACCAGCCTGTCAGGCACCAACAGCCATGATGATTCAGTCACTTTAATCCTCTTTCTTCCTCGTTCTGATTCTCAGTTTGTATTTCAACACGTTGTCATCTCTGGTTATTCAGGTTTCCTCCCATGGACCAAAAACATGCATGTTAGGGTAATTGGTAACTTTAAATAGTCCCTAGTTGTGAGTGAGAGGGTGAATGGTTGTTAGTCTCTATGTGCCCTATGGACTTAAGACCTGTCCAGGGTGTACCCCGCCCCTCGCACTGTGACTGCTGGATATGGCCCCAGTGACCCCACGAAAAGACTCCTAGAAAAGAAACAGGGGGTAAAGACAATGGATGGATGTCTCTCCACGTCTAGAAGCACTGCGTTGTTGCCCTGTGATTGGCTGATTAGCTGTTTGTTTTAACAAGCATTTGAACAGCTGGACCTAATGAAATGGCCTCAAGTGGCTGGTTGGTACAGGGGTGGGCAATCCTGGTCCTGGAGGGCCGCAGCCCTACATGTTTTACATTTTTCCCTGCTCCAACACACCTGATTGAGTCACTGAACTACCTCTTCCAAGTTCTGCAGTATGGAGGACCGAAACGAACTTAATTAGAAATAAAAGCAGAAATAGATAAATGAGCCTTTAAATAAATGAATACATTTGTAGTGCACCAAATAAATTAAAAAGGAAAACGTTACCTCATGTTTTATAATTTAAATGACCTTCATATTAATTTTTACAGCTTAGTTCCAATTAATTATATATTTTAACACATAACTTAAATTTTACTGTTTTTTAATCTATATTGTGTGTAGAGTGTGAATGGGTGAATGTCTGTTAGTGTAAAGCGCTTTGGGGTCCGGAGGGACTTGAAAAAGCGCTCTATAAGTTCAGTACCATTTACCATTTTACCATTTATATTTTACATAGTTTTTCCTTTTACTTGCAGTGGTGGACAAAGTACTCAACTCTAGTACTTGAGTAAAAGTGTTGATACTCATGGTCAAATCTA